ATCGGTATGGGATAGGATAGGGTTGATTCAACACACTACGTGAAAATGTGAATGCTCCCCCAGCCTACTATCGGCCAGATATCGCTTAGGGCACCTTCTTCCGACCAGAGCCGAGGATGAGTCACGTGGTTTACCGAGACCTTTCCCTACCCTGACGCCCACGTGACCTACCCTGGGCGCAAAGGATCCTGGGAATGTGCAACTCGTGAATGGACAAACTAGGTCAAAGGCAGACTGCATGTCTAGTAGAGTTAAGAATTAGCAAAATTCTAATATCCACCTACCAACATGTTGTACTTTTCCCCTTCATACTTGTCAAGTTTCCTTCGACCAATCAGGACCACCCTCTGGAAGATATTCCGGTTCACAAGTTCTTCAACCAATGCCGAGCCAGTTCCACCCGTATGTCCCACCACAAAGGCCGTCTGATTGGTCGACCTGAACTCCTCTTCCTTGCCTGGGGCTGCCTCAGCCATTCTGTCAAATCAAGGAGCTTAACTGACCTTGGTCAAATATTTACATTCAGTGTTTACTTGGTGAAAGAAATACAAAACAATATCAGCCTCCAGATGTCATGATGCTGCAAATCTTCTTGTGGTTGAACTAAAGTGAACTTGGTCCAGACTGCAAATTCAAAATGAAAATTCCAGGGTAATTTATAACATGTATGAATGTACAGTGTATACCTGCAAAATTCTTCTTCACTCTCAGTGGGAACAGTTGCAAGCCAGGCAATCAGGATTCCTAATATAACCACAAAACTGGCCAAAATTGTGGCTCCAATCTGAAACATAGGGTTAGAGAATTGCCTCCTATGCCGTGCTAATGTTGTTTACACTGCTGGCACACCCCTCCTGCTAGTGGGTTTCTCTTTTTAGCGAACGCCCACGAAAGCCCAAAAATTGTCGCACGAATCTTAAAATTTTTTGTGTGGTCATGTCCAGAGTGTGCTCCCGGGTGTCCATGCCAAGTTTGAAGCGAATCCATCGAGCCGAACTTAAATAAATCGAAATTTACTGGGTTTTTTCTCTTCTTGGCGAACGCCCACTTTACTTCCGGGTTCGCTGCGAACGCCCACTACTCTTTGCAAAATTTCGGCCCTCGCGCAACGCCGGCAAAATCCACCACCACAAATATGTTCCTATATGCCTCCCCTGAATTTCTGACAAGTTTCCGTGCTTTACGAGCTTTTAAAGTACCCATTTTTTGACAAAATATGCGCTGCGACGAGCTCGCCGCCTCAGCGTATACGTTTCACCTGGTCACATGACTTGCGGTCGGGGACTGTTCGATAATTTCATGATCAGCGGGAGGGAGGACAGGAAGGGCAGAAAAACGCAATCTACCGCACAAAAGGGGCAGAACTTCGTGTTTGTAACATCAAACATAAATGATTTCCTTTCTTACATAATTTTCACCTCGGTTCTAGTAGTGACACCGCCGAATAAAGTACGCACTTTTGAAAACTTTTCAAAATACAAAAAGTACCTTATTTGGGGTTTTCCCCGACAAATCCAACGACTACCGACGAATATAGCGAAAAAAACCGGCAAGGAGAAAT